TTAAAGCTGTGGATTCTACTCATCCCACACCTTTGTGTTTGAAAGAAGAAGGCCAACATATGAAACTGACATCATTTTCTCACTAAAGATGTCGTTTTTCTTGTTGCTTTGCATGAATAAACGGTAACATAGAACATTAGCAGATCCCACTCCACTGACTTATATTATATATATATATGTAATATTTGGTTTGAAATAGTTTGCATAATGTTTTTGTGACAGAAATCAACATCTTAAAGTTTGCAGTTGATTTTTTTTTAACTAGACTGTATTTTATTACAAATGAAAGATGTTTCATTCACAGTTCCCACTTAATCTTTAGCACATAAAACAGCTAAGATGAGTTTATGATACAACCCAAGAGAACAGATAAAAATCTCTTAACATCTGAGATCACAGTCAAATTAGTTTTTCTAACGTTCATACACACAAAAATCACCTAAAGTTTACAGGCTATAATATCAAATCCACATATGCTATGGGTGGGTTCCAGCTTTTTAAAAATAAATCAATGGATAGCTTTAGCTTAGCCGTTATTTTCTCTATAGGATAAACCCTCAATATTCTCTCTTTCCCTTGATTTACAGTCGGGGGTAAAGGTTAATTCCAACATGCATTAATCATTTTCTTTGCTACAGATAAAAGGACACTAAGCTAATATTGTTTTCCTGTACATAACAAGTCAGCCGGGAGCCCTACCAGGACAAAAACAAGAGGTTCGGTTCAATATAAACGTGAGAGATCTTTTAAATTTCCTCTCTGATTCCTTCCCAGTATGTTTTAATCTTTGGCCAATCCCATAAAACATGATTGTGACCTCCAATTAATCCGCGTCGTCTCCAGCACAGATTTGTTTTTAGCCTTATCAAATCTGGAGATGAAAGAAACACGGAGTCCTGAAACAGCTACTGTCCACTAAAACGCTTTCCCTGTTGGGCTGCCGGTCAGTTTATGTCCACTTTTCACACGCCAGCTGCTTTCTTAGTCATTAATCTCAACATTCATTTGTAGTTCCCATCTTTCTTCTATCCAGGAGGGTTAGACATAGATGACTGTAACAATTTATGTAGATTTGACACAGTTTTTATCACATTTTCACTCTTTGGGGACCTTTATGGTGGACATTTCTTTTTTTTTTTTTTTTTTTTTT